GATTTTATCCCTGTCATGTGACGAGAGCAGCCACTATCAAAGTACCAGTCAGAATTGGAAGTGGATTTTAAGGCAAATATAGAAGACAGACAGACGTTCTTATTTACCTTTGGAACCCAGATCTTTTTCTGTTCGTGATTCACTAAATCAATTTTGAGTTTAGGTGCTTTCAAGGGAACACCGTGAGGACTCCAGTCATTAATTTGACCCGTATAAATATCATGGTGCATTCTGTAGCACTTGGGACGGATGTGACCTCGAATCCCACAGTAGTGACACACGGGTACAAAGTTCTTACCTGAATCTTTGTGAGATGCTTTTGGGGAGTTTGGCTTACCCTTTTTGGAGTCAAGTGAGTACCCCTCTTTAACAAAAGTCAGACCTGGCTTCCTTAGTGAGGTGTCTGATTCTCCGACCTTCCCCTTCAGTTTCTGATTATGGAGGTTCTTACTCGAGTCGGATGAACCAATCTGTTGACTTAGTCTTTGAACTTCTGCATATGAGGTCTTGGGTTTATTGATCATCTTGACGACTTCCTCGCTTTTACCCAACTTCTCTTCAAGGGTAGAGCAATGACTTCTAAGTGTCATGTGTTTCTCCATTAACTGCCCGAGTTCTTCCTTGAGCACGGCTATCTCAGTTTCTCTCTCACCTGCAACATTTTGCAAAGCAAACAACTCGTTACGTAAGTTTTCAATAATAAAATTCAGCTCGTCACTTGCCTGCTTGTTGAGTTTATCCCCATGTTCAACCAAGGCAAGTTTTGCAAAACAACTATTTAAATCCTTATCCTGCTTTGCGGTATGGAGATCCGATTTAATAAGCTTCTCGTTCAAATCGACTGTCATCATTCTCATCTTTTGAAGCTCACTCCGAAGATAGTCAATCTCTTTCTCACGTTCGCTGGATCGTTGTTCCAAAGCCTTCATCTTCTGCTTCTGAGTATGGTACTTATTGATGATGTCTCTTGCTTTGAGACACTTTTCAATGGCGTACTTGTGAAGTACAAGATTCTCTGTAGCTGGATCCGAAAATTCATCAGAGTCCACTTCGCTCAAGTTTTTTGCGTAAGAACCTGCGTCAGATTCAATATCAGTTAGATGAACAGAAGAGGTAAAGCAGTTATATTCATTAAGAAGACATTTAGCAGAGTTATTTGAGTAGATAGAATTCTCAGTTGTTTCAGATTCGTTGTCCTCGTCGTCGCTGGAATCGGACCACGTAGCCTTGAAAGTCTTGTTCTTCTTCTTGAAATTAGGACAATCTTTTTGAAAGTGTCCAAAGCCTTTGCATTCACGGCACTGATCCTTCTCTACTCCTTGATTAGAGTTCGGAACCTTGTTCAGCTGTAGACCAGAACGCTTTTCTCCGAATTGCTGAATTTGGTTCCTTCCACCATCAAATGACCTATTTCCCTGAAATCTTCTTTTCTGAAATTTCTTCAGTTTCGAGACATTTCTCGAGAGTACAGTAAGTGCCTTGGTGATTTCATCAGGATCAAAGGATTCCTCATCAGATTCTTCGTCTTCAGCTACTGGGGTGCGAACCTTGGCCTTCAACGCCAAGCCTTTTCCTTTGCTTATCCTCATAGAGTCAAAACCATGATTGATTTCGAAGGTGCGAAGTTCACTGAGGAGATCGTCAATGCCAAGTTTCTGAATCCTCTGAAAGCTCTCAAGTGCTGTGATCTTGATTCCAAACCTATCCGGCAGAGTTCTCATTAATTTCTGTACTTGTCTAGCCTCTGGAACCGGTTCGCCAAGCATCGCACTTTGATTGACTAGGTCGCAGAACCGAGCATAGTACATATCAATAGTTTCATCCTCCCTCATGCGGATCTCATCTAACTCGGTGGAGACTCTTTGAAGCTTTGATGTTTTCACGGCATTTGTACCCTCAAATTGTCTTTCTAAAATCCTCCAGGCTTCTTGAGCGGTGGTGCATTGAATGATTATCTTATGACGCGTTGGGTCTACTGCAGACATGATGGCATACAAGGCACGAAAATTCGCTTCTTCCGCTTGTTTTTCATCGTCAGTCCAAAGACTCCTTGGTTTTTCAACAAGAACTTGAGTGGCAGAACTAGACAGCTTTGCATCCGAAGGTTCACCTTGTTTAAATTCAGCAGGAGCTTTTGGCATAAGTGGTGTCGACCATCCTGATTCAACGGCCTGCCACGTGCCTTTACCAAGAGAACGAAGAAAAATCACCATCATGGATTTCCAATAAGTATAGTTTGCTCCATCAAGGAACGGAGGACGCGAAACGGACATTCCATCGTGACTCATGGTGACTAACACACAGTCCCAAAGATCTTTATCCCGTAGTAAGAACAGGAACACTGCTCTGGTGCCAATTGAAACTTATATTTGTCACGGAGTGCGCGAGTTATAGTAAGAACAATAATAAGAATTGTAAAATGCGGAAGCAAACAACCGAAGATGTTCAAACTCTTCAGGGAAGCGTCCCACTTCCCCTCAGAGCTCTTTCATTGATAGATCACTCGTACACATAGTTTGGACTTACAAAGATTCGAACTCCCTTCAAATCTAGCCAACACTACTTGATCCTATCAACTAATCCTCCGGCCACGTCCCGTGGACTTAAACACCTACACTTATTCCCTAAGTGTACAAATCGTGAAATAGTTTTGATGAAATGACTAAAGAACAAAACGAAGGCAGTACTAGTCCTTGAGTTTGTAAGAACTCTTAGACTGAACTGAATACAATCAAAGATAGAACTGAAAAACAAAACGAAGCTTGAATGGCGCTCAATTATTTCTCTGTATCCAAAAAATCACCGCCGCCATAAGCTTCTTCTAGGGTATATATATGATCTCCTTAGGGTTGGAGTCTTCTACAAGGCATAGGTCTTCATTCAAGATTTCCTTCCAAGATAATAGCATATCTTTGGTAAGGAAATCTTTTATTCTCTCTCTTGATCTCCTCTCCAAGCATGTCTCTTTTCTCCTTCTTTATCTCACCTCACGAAATTTCCTAAAGCATCATAACCGTAATAAGATCAACATGAACTCATATAAGGAAAATAAAACAATATTACTTAAGGAAATATAACACACAAAGATCTTCCCTTTTTATTCGGTGGTTCCAGGTGCTTGTTCGAACTATCGAACTAATGCCAAAATAAAATATCTTTCAAT